AAACAAAAAAAACAGGGCTGGGCGCGGCAGCTCATGCCTGTAATCCCAGCACTTTGAGAGGCCAAGGTGGGCGGATCACGAGGTCAGGAGATCGAGATCATCCTGGCTAACACGATGAAACCCCGTTTCTACTAAAAATACAAAAAAATTAGCTGGGCGTGGTGGCAGGCGCCTGTAGTCCCAGCTTGTTGGGAGGTTGGGGCAGGAGAATGGCATGAACCTGGGAGGCGGAGCTTGCAGTGAGTGAAGATCATACCACTGCACTCCAGCCCGGGCAACAGAGCGAGACTCCTTGTCAAAAACGAACAAACAAAACAAAAACACAGGACCAACCCTTTGAAAAACAAAAAAAAAACCCCAAAACATCTCCAGGCATTGTCAAACATCCCCTGGGGTGAGGGGGGTCAAAGTTACCCCTAGTTGAGAGATACTATTGTAAAGCAACAGGCCCCCCGTGTTGAGAGCTGGCCGGCCCCCACCTTGAACTAGGAGCGCCGCTTTTCCTGAGAGCTCTTCACATTCACCAGTTGTGTAGTCTTCATCCTAAAGCTCCTGTTTTATGGTTTGATGAAACTGAAGCTCACTGGGCTTCAGTGATGAGATCAAGGTCATATGGTAGCAAAAGCAGGACTTGCATCTCATCATCTGACTTCATATGGGAAAGTTGGCTCCCTGATTCATTCTTACTTTTACCAAGATAAAAAGGAAGCACCTCCTTTTAGGGTAGTTCCTTTTCCCTTGAAAAATGTTGGGAGTAAAGTCAAGAGACATGTTTGTTTTGGCCATACTATTCCAAATCATGAGCATAAGAGTGACAGTAGCTGGCTTTTACTGAACACTCAGAGCCAGGTACCATCCTATAACCTATAATTCACTCAACTCTTCCCAACATCAGTTTGAACCTGGGCCAGTTCCCCAAATGACCACAAGATGGCAGTCAGTAATAAGCTTTTGCTTAGAGCTGTTGGCCCCTAAACCAAATCCTCTTAAGGGTGGCTGTTCAGGATTTACGGAGCTTCCAGCTGATGACTGGGAGCTAATGTGTGTGTCTCTGCCCCAGTCTCACAAGGCATGCCTTGTCTGATTGTGACTTGCTAGTACCAGAAACACAAAATATAAAACATGGGCCAACTCCTGGATTCTGATTCCCCATCCCGGTTGAGGTCGCTAGGGTGGGAGGTGAACCTGGGCAACATTGGGGAACTGGAGACCTGTGTGTTGAAGAAGCGTAGGGAGAAGCAGAGTTCCAGGAATCAGCTCAACTGAGAGTTACTTTAGTTAAGAAAGTTTAAGACACTCAAACGCAAGGTTGTGCTATCCTCTATACCAAGACTCCTCAAAAGCATGGTTGCCTCTGCCTTCACTTCCTGGTCTCCTGTGCTTTCTAGAACCCATCCAGTTAGGTTTCTCCCCCACCGCCCCACTGGGACTGCTCTTTTCAAGGCGATATCCACACTGCTCAAGCCAGTGGTCAGTTCTCCACCTTTGCTGACCTGTCCTGCAGTGGCTTTTGACTGCTGATCCCTCTCTCCCGCCAACAGGTTTCTCTGGCGGCTCCCCTGCCTCCATCTCCATCCCTGCCCTGCCGCACTGGCTCCTTCTCCTCAGTCTCCTTTGCTGGCCTCTCCTCATCTTCCTGACCTCCAAACACTGGAGTGCCCCCAGCTCAGTCCTTGGTCTCGTTCTCTGTCTCCCTCGCTCCCAGCTCACCTGGTCCAGACCCATCACTGATAAGCCCCATATACATCTTCAGCCTGGACCTCTCCCCTAAACCCTGGCTTTGTTTATGTAGTGGCTTTCTGGATGTGGCAGCCAGCTCTAACATGGTTCCCAGAGATCCCTGCCAACTGATATTCACATTCATCACCTCTTCTTAGATGTGGGCGGGACCCGGTGATCCTCTTCTAGCAAAGAGAACATAGCAAAAGCGATGGGGTGTCCTTTCCAAGGTTAGGTTACAGAAAGATGATGACGTCAGTGCTGCCCGCTCCCTGAGGGAAGCTGGCTGTCATGTTGAGAGTATCTTTATGGAAAGGCTCACACCGCCAGGAGCAGAGGTCGCCAGCCAAGAGCCTGTGAGGAACAGAATCCTACCAACAGCCCCATGAGAGAGCTTGGAAGCAGATCCTCCCCTACACAACTCTTTTTTTTTTTTTTAAATACAATATGGGGTCTCCCTATATTGCCCAGGCTGGTCTTGAACTCCTGGCCTCAGGCAATCCTCCCACCTTGGCTTTCCAGAGTGCTGAGATTATAGACATGAGCCAGCATACCCAGTCAGGATACGTTTTGGGGTGGCTACTGTCGTAGAGACATTTTTGTAGAGATGTGACATGTACTAGCTATCAAATTACCCCAAAATTAGCAGCTTAAGACAGCACATTTATTCTGTCTTAGTTTCTGCGGACAGGAGTCCAGACACAGCTTGCCTGGTTCTCTGACTCAGATTCTTTCAGGGTCTCACTCAGGCTGTCTCTACTTTTATTTGCTTTTTAGAGATAGGGTTGCACTCTGTCACCCAGGCAGGAGTGCAGTGGTGCAATCATAGCTCACTGCAGCCTTGAACTTCTGGGCTCAAGTGATCCTCCCACCTCAGCCTCCTGAGTAGCTGGGAATACAGGTGTGCCACCACATCCAACTAATGTAAAAACAATTATTTTTGGCCAGGCGCGGTGGCTCCTGCCTGTAATCCCAGCACTTTGGGAGGCTGAGGCGGGTGGATCACGAGGTCAGGAGATCGAGACCATCCTGGCTAACATGGTGAAACCCCATCTCTACTAAAAATACAAAAAAAAATTAGCCAGGCGTGGTGGCAGCGCCTATAGTCCCAGCTCCTCGGGAGGCTGAGGCAGGAGAATGGCGGGAACCTGGGAGGCGGAGCTTGCAGTGAGCCGAGATGGCGCCACTCACTCCAGCCTGGGCGACAGAGCGAGATTCCGTTTCAAAAAAAAAAAAAAATTTTTTTTTAAACTTTCTTAAAATGTGGGAGTGTAGCCCGGTATGTTCATGTCTGTAATCTCAGCACTTTGGGAGGCTGAGGCGGGTGGATCACCTGAGGTCGGGAGTTCAAGACCAGCCTGGCCAACATGGTGAAATCC